ATTTGGTATTCCGACCAAATTCCGGAACTCTTCGGTCGGAATTCGACGACAATTTCAGAATATGCAAACCTAAAAGTTTTGCCTGTTTCAGCGATCTGAATTAAATCAAAACGTCTATAAACAAGCAAATTCAGTGGCGTAACCAGAATTTTTTCTGATGAAAGAGGTAGGGATGGGCGCAAATCCCAAAAACGGCTCTGGTAACAGCAGTCAAAATGCATTCGCGGAGGTACACGCTGGGGCTGATCTAAACAATTATTCTCTTTACTGCTTTTTCAGTGCGGTTTAAAAAGAAGGTTCAGACTGAAAGGATGACTCAGGCGAAGGTCCGGGCTCAGCGCTCACTGTTGAAATTAGCTGGGTGTGTTTTCAGGTATTCATAATAAGAGGAAAAACTGAATTTTGAAGTGGATTTTTCTGCATAGATTTTTTACTTCCTTTTCCCTTCCCTTTCAATTTTTAAATCTCTCCTCATTTTTGCTCTTCTTCCTCCAATCAGGGTGGGTGCGGGGAATACGTGCTTTAGAAACATACACCTTCCAATGATGTATTTTTATTTTTGTAGAGATTGTTCCAACGATTCAGGGCAATTATGTATCAAAATTTTATCATGATAACAAAGATATGCACTTCAAATTATGAAGAAACATACTGCAATTAATTTCCTGACGGTGGATTTTCGTGCACGTACCAAGAAGAGACTGCATGCGAGTCACAATTGAATCGTAATTTCATTTTGGTGCTGTTACTCTCTACGTATCTATCAATTGTTTGGCTTCTTGCTCTCAACAGTTGTGTTATATGTTATGAAAAGCCTTTAGGCAGTGCAGCAGAATTCATCGCAGACGAAGCACTCATGTTTTCGCTTATATTATCCATTGCTAGACGAAGATGTTTATCATCGTCTGCGCATTTTGTAGAGAATATCAGTCCTATTGCGTACTTGTTTTGCAAACGGCATTATTTGCAGCAAAAGAAAAATAATGCTTCGTTTTGAACGAAAAAGTGCGTGACTTTGCCGTGCATCCGTCTGACACAGAAAACAACTTGCACGTTAGTGATGATTACGGAACGAAATCTCGGTTCGGTCAGAATCTGGCCAAATTTCATCGGATTTTACCGATCAAAATTTGCCATCACCACTGTGAACAATGTGGAGATGCTTACATCATTCTATAGTAGTGGTTCTCAAACTTTGCTCCCCCTCCCTCCCCCGCACCACAGAAAATTTTAAGATATCCTCGTACCCCCGACAACAATACTTAAATTGTTCTCGCACTTCTCAGTGGGGGTCTGTAGTGTAGATAAGTGCGTACCATCAGAGTGTGTTCTAAACTTTTCAAACATGTATACGTTGAAGTTCGTCCTCGCCTATTTTATGCATACGTTATGCACAAGTTACTTATGCACATAGGCGTTGAATTCCGCCCTCGCCTACTTTAACGTATAAAAAACGAAACACTATCTCGAACCCCCTGGATTACTACCTTGGGGGTGCGAGCATCTCTGGTTGAGAAACTCTGTTCTATAGCGCAGAACAGTCTAAGCCAGGCATCGGCAACCCCCGGCCCGCGGGCCAAAATTGGCCCACCGACAATAATTTTTAGCCCACCAGATGAATTTGAGAATTTGATTTCGATAGGGTTAAAAAAAAAGAAAAATGGTTCTAAATTATTTAGTTACT